ATTTACATGAAAGGACCAGGATGCCCCTGATTAGTGATGGGACACCCAGTCTAATAAAACACAAGATACAATTAGGCCCAGTTACTAAGGCCCATTAACTAGAGACTCTAAYACCYAGCMCARRCAAGAGAATAACAACATATCAGCCGAACCAACAAAAGGCAATGAATTATATTGAGTTTTTTTCAGCTTATGCTACTAGCTATGGTGAGTGATTCCCATGCCCTAGAGTGATTCTAGGCACCTTGTGAGTGATTCCAGGTATTTTCTCTCTTCTTTCTCTCCCTATTTTCTCTTTTATTCCTTCAAGAAGCCATTGACAGCCATAAAACTCTTATCAAGAGGACCATTCAACATTCTCTAAGGACTAGAACTGAGCTGGTTCTACATCACTTTCACACACCATTATTTATATATCAAGGAACAAGAGACCATTTCTTATTTGGGGTTGCACTCAATTGAGTAACCAGGGCATGATTATGAAGTTTTCTTATTCCCACTTGTCACATGTAGGGCCAGTTGTCTTTGGATTTTTTGTCTTCCCAGTTAAGTGTCAATTTCCTAGGTCGTTTCACATGCATTTTTATCGATTGGGACCATTCCAAAAAGTTCAAGCCATCTAATTTGATAGTCATAATCTGAAAATTTGGGTTGTCAACAAGGGAGTTAAGAGTAGATCTAATCCTTGAGGATTGTGCCACATCTTTGATGTCTCCAGATTTATTTCCTGTAGCCATTTTCTTGAAAGAATATTTGAAAGAAAAGGAATATTGGGTTCACTACACAGCTATATCTAAAATATGTTATCTTTCACTGATGCTCCTTGACCACCCCAATAGTCCAATGATAAAAAAAAAATACATCAAAACCTTCGTCACATATGCAAATATATTACAAATTTCACATGTGAAACACCTCCTACCAGATCTAGGCGCATCAACAACCCAAAACAAGAAAGGAAAGGATTTTCTGGTAAAGGCAGTAAATTTCAAATAGAAGAAAAATCTTAGAATATTCTATAATCCACCAAAAACTCTCAGACCTATTTCAAATTATGCCAAAATTACAATGCAGCGAGGATCAAGACATCCATTTGAAAAAAGAAAAACCTCATGAATTTGTTGGTGCCAAGAAATTGCGGGTTGATTTTTCTTTTGTAAAATTTATAAGAAATCTTTAATCAATTCAAATAGTGGAAATCTTGGATGCAAATTCATCTAAAATCATCTTCAACCAGACCATACAAGTTTTCTCATCAGAAGTCACAGGTTGATGCAGTCCTTTTGATGTCATCTAATGTCATCTAGCAGCCTGCTAACATCAGCTGGGATCTTCCATTCTTTCTGAGCAAATATCTTAGATTAGGATGATCTAGTCCGCTTTGATACCAACTTGATCTGAAACTATAAAACTAGCTTTTGGTGAATTTTCTGGCATAGGTTTTTCTGGTTGTATTCTTTCCCTTTTCTTTTTCTGTCTTCTTATAAAATTTTGCTAATAATCCAACTAAAAGGGCTAGTCAAGTATTTCTTTTTTTTTTCTATCTTTTTTATTTGCAGATAAGAGACTTCCATATTACAAAGAGGGAGGAAGATATTGGTTCTTATGCAGGTTATGTTGGTGAGAGTTATTCTCCGTTTCTTTTCATACATTGAGACCTATTTATGATAACTCATTGGAAGTTTCATAAAGCTATGCCAATAATACCTTTTCTTTTTTTTTTTTAAAGGATCTTCATTTATGTTTGGAAGAGCACTGACTTCTGTCTTCTGGGGAGTTGTAGCTGATCGTTATGGTAGAAAACCAGTAATAATGATAGGAATTATTACAGTGTTAGTACTGCTACACTTGTATTTACCTATCAATTGAACATGAGTTTTCATTCTTTCTGATTTTTTGTGTGTATGTTTCTGTGTGTGTGTGTGTGTGTGGGTGGGCATGCTTCCTCATGTGTGTGTGTATATATATTCTTTTTCTCATTAGTATTATTACCTATCTCAGTGTTATTTTCAACACTCTCTTTGGCCTGAGTACAAACTTTTGGATGGCCATTTCAATGAGGTTTCTTCTTGGAAGCTTGAATGGTCTACTTGGCCCAATAAAGGTATAGCTTCTATAACATATATTGAATTTTCACCTCCAATTTGTTGTTATCTTTGTATATTATGGACAATTGTTTAGATAATTTGTGCTGTTTTTCTCACTATTACATTGTCTTTACATGTTTAAAATTTCCTTTTTGTTGTTTTCCAGGCATATTCTACTGAAGTTTGTCGTGAAGAATATCAAGCTCTAGGAGTGTCATTAGTAAGAACGTTTCCTATCATTATTTATTATGGATCCAAAAGTTCATGCTGCATTATTTTGAATGGGCATTATTCAATCAAGTGTTAAAATTTCAGGTTAGTACTGCATGGGGTACAGGATTGATTATTGGCCCAGCACTTGGAGGTTTCTTGGCACAGGTATTCACTGCTCTTTTTTTCCCCTTTCCCTTTCCTACTATTTTCTGTGGGTGGACAAATGAGAATATTATTAACAAAATTTTGAAATTAAGAAAGAAGAATATGATCATATGACCATGTATACATAAAACTTGCAGCCTTTGACTTATTCCTCAAAAAATTGGGAAATTTGTTTTCCGTGTTTAATTCAAAGCCCCTAGGCTGGATGGTTTCACAATAGCCTTCTACAAGGATTGCTTGGACATTTTGAAAGAAGATTTGTTGGAAGTTTTTGACGAATTCTTTGAAAGAGGAGTAGTTAATTTTCAGAGATGAGGACAGGAAAGTCATTGCTCTATTTTCTGGTCCTATTGGTGTAGGTGATTCACTTTGAGCTGAAACCATGGCAGTGCTGGAAGGAATGAAGAAGGCAAAGGAGCTGGACTGATGCACGCTCATTGTTGAAGGGTGTTTGCTGAAGTACAGCAGTAGAAGAGAAGAGAAGAGAAGAAAAGAAGCTTGTGAATGGGCGACAATGTGTTCTCAGCTGGCCCTAGAAGCTATTATATATATGTTAACAATAAGATGTTATAGGAATAGACTAGAATGCCTTTGATTAGTGATGGGACACCTAGACATAATAGAATAAAACAGGTTTAGGCCCAATAACTAAAGGCCCATAACAGACTAAAGAACTGAAACATAAAAGATAAATAAGCCCACCAACACTTAACCTCTCGATCCAACACTCCCCCTCAAAGCTAAGCATGGATGTTAGTCATGTTTAGCTTGCCAAGTAAGCCTAGGAACTTCATTGAAGACAGTCCTTTTGTCAAAACATCAGCAACCTGCATCTCAGATGGTGTATAAGGATTGCAAAGTTTGCCCGAGACAATTCTCTCTCTTGCAAAGTGTTGGTCAATCTCAATATGCTTAGTCCTATCATGTTGTACTGGGTTATTTGCAATGTTGATGGCAGCCTTGTTGTCATAATACAGCTTGAGAGGACCATCAACCTTCATCCCGAGCTCACCAAGGAGGGTTTTAAGCCACAATAGTTCTGCAACACCATGTGCCATAGCCCGATATTCAGCTTCTGCACTTGATCTTGCAACCACATTTTGCTTTTTAATTCGCTAAGTAACCAAATTCCCTCCAACAAATGTGCAATATCCGGAAGTAGACTTCCTATCTCCAATTGATCTAGCCCAATTTGCATCAGTATACGTCTCAATTTCAATTTTATTGTGCTTTTTGAACAAAATTCCTTTCCCTGGACATGTCTTCAAATACTTGAGGATCCTTTCAACTGCTTTCATATGAGGAATCTTTGGAGAGTGCATGAACTGGCTGACAACATGCACTACATAACCTATATCAGGTCGGGTAAAAGATAGATATATCAATTAGGGTGCAACAATAGGGAGAATTATGTGGAGATGTGCTCGTGCTGCCTTGATTTGGACTCTTTGGGAAGAAAGGAATATTAGAATTTTTCAAGAGAAGGAAAGGAGCAATCAGGAATTGAAAGACTGTGTGTTAAATAGGGCAATACCTTGGCTGAAGACCTTGGAAATCTTTCATCAATTCTCCTTTAATGACCTTTGGAGAAATTGGTCAGCAGTAGCGAGATGTTCATCTCTAAAGGACAAATCAATTACAAGTTGGTCTCCTCCATCCGAAGGCTCACTGAAGTTGAACTTTGATGGAAGTAACATGGGTAATTCAAGATTATCCGGAATGGGGGGTGCTTTGAGAAACGAGAAGGGAGAGGTTTTGTTGCTCTACTCAGGTTCCTTGGGAATTGGGGACTTCATCAGGGCATAACTTTTAGCTATTGTACAAGGGGTGCAATTTGCAAACCAGCT